CACGTAAAGCAGTATGAATCACAGGAAACTGAAAAGATAAGTAAAGGAAAACAAAATACTAACAGTTTACAATAGATCCTCGAAAGAGCGGCCACCAACAGCGATACAAGATTCACAGCGGCGGCGCATTGATCGGCATACATTAGAAAAGACGTCAGGCATGTAGAGCACATGTCCAGCAGCAACAGACAAGTGGCCAACAAGATTTTCTGCAGATGTGACTGGACTCTCGTACACGAGGTTTTGAATATGACCCCAAAAGAAGAAATCTAAACAGGTTAAATCAGGAGAACACGGTGGCCAGGGAACTGGTCCGCCCCGTCCTATCCAGTTCTGGTAGTAGACACGTCCAGGTGATTCCTGATGTTCCGGTTGAAGTAAGTTGGGGCTCCATCGTGCTGGAAGAAAGAATAGAGTTCATCCGCGAACAGCTCGACGAACATCGACGAAAAGTTCAGGTAAGACGTCCTGTAGGAAGATGCTGTACATGTGGCCAGTTAAATGATTGGGTAGAATGTACGGTCAGATTAAGTTATCGTGAGCAATGCTTCCCCAAACATTAATGGAAAACCTTTCTTGGTAGGCGTGTGTTATTGTGTTATGTTGGTTATCGTGAGCGCACAGGTGAGAATGATGAATGTTAGTTGTACCCAACTGCGTAAAGGTAGCCTTATCAGTGAATAAAGCATCTACAGGAGGGAAAATTTGATTGCCTGTCGACTGCTATGGGTACCAACGAGCAAAGTTGAGACGTGGAAGATAATAGTCAGGAGTCATTGCTTGCACTCTCTGTAAATGATACGGATGTATTTCATCTTCATGTAAAGGCCTCGAAACAATTGCATGGCTCACACCCAGAGCACTTCCTACAACTCTCGAGCTTGACAAAGGATTGTACCCTACTGTGTTTAGCATTCTTTCTTCTATTGCAGGAATTTTGAGATATTTTCCAATGCCAGTATAACACCTGAACGCATAAGACGATCCACCCACGCTTAACTCTCGATGAAGACGCTTGAATGTTCTACTATCCGGCTGATTCCCCTCCGGGAATCGCTCCCTGTACATCCTTTGAGTAGCTAATTCATCTCCTCGTGCAGCCCCATACATGAACTGTATGTCGGTAAACTCCGCATTAATGAAACGATTCACGATGCTCAAGATCTATGCGGGAAAAGAAGAATACAGCTAGCCTCGCACTCATCCGCTAGCCGCGCTAGCTTTTATACGCCGCACTCATCAATGCTCTCTACTGGCTCAACGCGGCATTACCGCACACACATTCCTATAAGAAATCTGCTTATTTAGGTCCCTCTACCTGCCTTTTGACATAGAGTTTTAAACTAGCGGCCAGCGGTATAGTCGCTAGAAAACATGGTTTCAGAATCGAGGTTCGAATCACGCGAACGGGCTGGCTGCATTGGCGTTTTCGTGTTTTTTCCCATGTATAACGTGTATACGAGCCAGTTTCCCTTAGAAAGTCCTCCACGAAGGCATTCCTCCCATTAGGCAGATAGCCCTCGAGGCTTTGCTATAATCACACACACACACACACGATCTGCCTTTACATTTTTGACATATAGTTTTAAAACACCCAGTACATAGTTGTCGAAAACATTTTCAGAATAACTCGAAATTTGATTAATTTTTTTACATCCTTCTCTACTTATAATTTCTAAGAATCAACATATATTATTTAATATTTTTCATTCATGAGCTCACATTCACTTAGTTCTAAATTGTATCTTTAGTCAAATATTTACGTAATACCCAGTACATATACTAAAAATTGCTATTTTTCTCCTTCCTTTCTGCACGCCATCGTGGTGTAATGCGGGAGCACACTCGGCAGGTATTCGGGAGGTCCAGGTTCGAGTCCCGGTGAGAGCATTGCTCATTTTTCATGTCTCTTGCTTCATAAAAACCTAATGACTCTACAAAGGGACACATTCGTATTTGATTCGCTTTGTATAAAAATGAGGTCAGTGCTACGAAATCTACTTGTTGGGATTTGTTCCATCGTTCATTAAGAATTGACACAAATAATGCTTCATAACTGAAAATATTCCACAATAAATGAGTAAAATTTTAAAGCATGAGATATGACTAAAATATTTTCAGCTAAGTTTCGCATCATGAATCCTAATCTACCTTACAAGTTGACGTTATTAGTGATGCAATATATGTTATCATTAAAGCATATAATTCAATTATTTCATAGAATAACTAGGTATTTCATGAATTAACTAGTTAAGTCGATTAAAGTGTATAATAGATTAATAAGTCACCCAACCGGGATAGTGGTTAGTGAAGCTGACTGCCAAACCGAAGATGAACTCGGAAAAGGCATGGATGTTCGAATGGAGGTGTTCGAATCCCGGAGAAGGCATGGATGTTTGTAAATGTATAGTGTCTGTGCGGCATGGGACACTTTAAATTTGCGGCAAACTGAAAGGCCTCTTGAGAGGTTGGTTGCAGAGGGGAAGCGATGGGAGATCCTCAGGACTCCCTCCTTCAAAATTTAGGCCGGAACTGAGCAAAGTCGTACTGTCAACAGTAGAGTGCGCAAGGCTCTTGCCAACGACAGGCGCAATCTTGCACTCCATGCCCCAATGGATTTCGTGGGCTTGCTTTCATGTTACTGTCAGACAATGGAGATAAGTCACGACAAAAATAACAACAATGGATTAATAATTTCACACTTTACTAATTGTTCTATAAAATAACTAGTTATTCTGTAGATTAACTAAAGACAGACTGTTAAAGTAAAAAATAAACAATCAAAACCAAAATTTAAAACAAAATTTAAATCAAAATTTAAAATAAATCCTTTGTTTTATAAAACAACTAATGATAAATCTCTATTCTCTTGAAAATTACATTTCATATTACGGATAGATTAACTGATAAATAATAAAATAAAACAGAATACATAAATCTGAAATCTTTCAGATTTTCTTTTTTAAATTACGTCGAAAGGGGCATTTTTGTAACATTTTGTGTGTTACCTTTATTTATTAAATATCATGTTCTTTGCACTTAAACCATAAAATTCAATTCAAAGGATATATTTCAAAATAATTTTGAAATGAGCATATCCTTTAGAATTTCTGATACATAGTCTAGCGCGCTGGAGACAAATCCCCCCCCCCGTACAGTGTTGGAATTCCTCACTTTGAAATCGCCGAGTTTGTTAATCAAAAATTTCTAACAGCTTTACAAAATATGAAATAGGTAATAAAACAAATTAGAAATTCAAAATTCGGGCTTCCAGGTGCCCATATTCGAATGGAGGACTACGTTATTCAAAATTTGATGGCTCTAGGTATCGTTGTTTTATCACAATGCGAGGAACATATATTATTTATGCAGATTCTTCATTATTTAATTTCTTAAAATATAATACAGGACGATAATATTTGATGGCAACAGTTTGAAAAATGAAACGGACATTCAGAGCGATTCGACGCAAAATCGCAAAACGGAAAACAATAGTATCTTAGGGGCAAAGCCCCTTTGGAACTAATAATAAATATTGTTGCTATATTAATTAAATAGCAATGAAAAATAACAGACTATACTACACCAATAGTTATATTTAAATTTTTAAAACTTATAAAAATAATTAGGCTACTTAGTCTTGCTTTCAATAAAGCAGGACGCGTGCCATCCTTTGCTAACGATCAGGCATTTTCTAATACAATAACGAAGGTATTTTCTAATACTTCATAACGAATTAGGCCATCATTACTCTATGAAATAACTAGTTATATCGCAGAATCCAATAATTTTATATACTTTAACTGATTCATTAAGGTATATCATGAAATATTGTTATTTTATGAGACAGCGAACTTCCAGGCCTTTAACGGCAACATAAAATCAGAACTGTGAACAATCCGTTAGTTTTCAATTAGGGACATACGAAATCGTTTAGTTCCACAGAAGGTAGTCATTAATACGTTAGAGCAGAAAAATTGTTTCCCCATTTATTCTTTTCTTCGGAGGGACCTACCCTGAAACTAGATCTCTTTCCAGAACGGGGCGAAAAAAAGTGTGGGAAAAATAAGATCTTTCCAGAGGCATCTTGAAAAAAAAACCTCTTTTGTAAGTGACCTTGGTAAGGTGCAGCTAGCTTAGCGTTTTACACTTAACACTCCCTCAAGACAGCCCTCTATAACCCTCCTGGTTAAACGAGAATTTGGCTGTTTTCTCCAACTCAGATTGGCGATAATATTTGGCGAGATTTTAGAGTTCCTTTTTTTCCGTTCCTTATTTTCCGAGTGACATTTTTCCGTTCCTTATTTTCCGGGGACATTCTTTCCGTTTCCTTTTTTCCCGGGTGACATTTTTTCCGCACACCTAAGAGGTAGGTGGACAAAGAATACGAAGAAAGTTTCGGGGAGTGTCATTGTGTGAGTTATTGCTGAGGGTCCCTTAACCTTGACGTCACAAGCCAGTTTCGATTCAGAGCGCAGGCCTTATCTATCTCGATGGTGACGCCTGAGTACGGCCGGAGCGTAATAACAGCTTTGAGAGAGAGTAGCCAAAAGGCAGACGCGCGCAAATCAGAAACTCTGATTCTCTCAGGAAGCCTCGAAGTTTAAACTTCGAGGTTTCGAGGCTTCGAAGTTCAAGAACTTCGAATACCGCTCCTCCTCATTAAGTATTCAGACGTGATTCTAAAACTACGTTCTGGCCGGAAGTCGTAAGTTGAAGTTAAAGATTTGATAGGAAAGAAGTTTCACTCAAAATTAAAACTGTTAATAAAATTAAAATAACCTTACAAGTATATAAAATCATTTTAAGCTAATTTATGCAGTTTTAAGAGCCCTTATATTAGTAGAAAATGTCTGTTTTTTTACTACTAATTTTAAATCAAGTATAAAAATTGCAACAGAGGATAATTTTCTTTCGTATGAAATAAAATTTGTGAAACAAATTCTAATTGTTATAATTTCATGCTTTGTCACATGAGGCATAGATTATGAGGCGTATTACTAACCTGTATCTTCAGCTATTCGGATATCTTTCATATTTGCAGCCAAAATTTGGTCTTTGCGATTTTGAAGAAGGTCAGCGAGGGTCAAAATAATTTCGGCTCTTTGTTCTCCAGATATTTCTTGTAGTCTTCTTCCACCTTTTCTGGCTGTAAAGAAAGGAAACGGAGGTATTGACTTGGAACTAGAATGTACTTAAATCACGATTAGCATATTAGAGAAATCCTTCAATCACTATTAGTATAGCCGAGAAGTACGCTCATCAGGTTTGAAGCGATAGGAGAAACAAATGGAAACAAAAATAACAGCTTTCAAAATTCCTCGATGAAAATAAATTTTTATCTTTCCATTATGATCATTAGAGCACAGACATTCAGGCAAACCCCCATTTTTTTTGGCTTATTTGCGCAAAACACCATTTTTTTGCGAATTTTTGAGAAAAAAAGAATTATTTGGTACTTCCTGTCATAAATATCTATTCTGATGTTTTCATATGGTTTTATTTACCTCTTATTCTTATTAGATTCAATTTGTAGAGACATTAGGTTAATTGGAAAAGCCGAAGAGATGAAAAATTAGCAACGCCTTCACCGGGAATCGAACCACGGACCTCTGAAATAACGGCTCAGTGTGCTGGCCACTACATCACGATGGGGTGTGGTAAAATTTAATTATGACAAAGCACACTAGGGCTATCTACCTAAGGGGAGGGATGCCTTCATGGAGGACTTTCTAAGGGAAACCGGCTCGTATACACGTTACACATGGGAAAACCCACGAAAACACCCATGCAGCCAGCCCGTTCGCGGGATTCGAACCTCCCACTACATCACGAAGGCACCCCAAGAAGGTGGGAGAAATACCTTAAAAATTATTTGAAACATAATTACTTTTCCTCCTTTCGTTGCAGTCCGTGCTTTTACTTTGAAGTTTTCTCAACAGGCGACGCTGATCCTATGACGCAATCCGAAATGATTGCGCATTGGTCACAGATGTGCGTGTATGTCAGCCTCTTCGACTGAACTCAGGGAAGTTTGATTATGTAACAGTCCACGGGAAATGTGTATTTTATATATGCCGTATTAATGAAGTTGTTTTTACATCCGGAAAAATTTTAAATTTAAATTTTTAGTTCGGTTATGTTTGCGATACCTAAGTAAAAGTTAATGCGAGTTAGAAGGTAAATTTGTTTCGACAAAAGAATTGGGATCAGATATGTCCTTTACGGATGAAAGTGTTTTACTTCGCAAATTCTCTGAGAAATAGTTCAGTTTTGAAAAAGAAGTATCTTGTAAAGAAACTTAAAAAAATATTTAGGAATAAATCTACAAAATTAAGAGCTGCAGAAGGAAAGCAAACAATTCTGCGCAGTTGATGTTGAATCATCATCTAAAGAATCCTAATTTTCAAAGTTTCATGTAAAGTGTTTCTTGAAGCCAGAATCACTATGGAAGTTAAAAAAAATGAGCGTTTTTTTTTTTTTTTTTTTTTTTTTTTTTTTTTTTTAATTCATACGAAAAGAACAATTCTTTAAGAATCTATGTGATACGAAACTAGCTTGATACTTGCGATAGCTAGCTCTTAGATCAAATCAGCGCAGAAATCGTGAAGAAAGATCTTTGTATAGCGATTGAGGAAATGACAAATGAAATAAGAAGATTCGTTGCATTTGTCATTTTTTTCGATGATACTCTGGAACCAATAAATGAAGTGTCTTAAATTTATTTACTGACAGTAGAAAAACTGAGGGAAAAGGAAAACCCTAGAGTTACCCACTTGTTCGCCTGTTCATTGGCATTACTTTGTCCACATGGAAAAAAGCATGATACAGTTCTCTTATTCTTAATTGATGTTTCACTATAGGAAGTCGATCTACCTTAAAAAGGCAGCTAAGTCCTTTTTACATTGATGATTCATTAATTGTACATAGCTCGTGCTTTACTCAGAACTTTTGAAAAAATTACAGGTATTTTTGCTGAAGTTGACTTATTTGTTTCAAATAAGAAAAAAAAAAATTTAAAGTTTCCTATAGAATCCAAGCTTTCAAGGAAATAATTCCAGATATGCCAAACTCATCGTTACGAGATAGGTTACTTTCTAAAAATCATTACTTCTCTTCAGATTTTGGAGGAATTCCAAAAATCGAATACAGTTTTTCAGATGATGAGCGGACGGCCATTAAAATCCTTAACATGTTCCTCTACTGCCTCTAAAGAGTAGAATGAGTTAGAATTTGTGTCTATGTATTTCAATGAACGTCCTGATTCATTAAAGCAACGTAAAAAAATATTTAAAAAAAGCATATAAAAATATTTAAAAAAAGCAATCTTCTCTTTGCTAGACTGCGATTGTTAAAACCGCTGAACACCAATAGCTCGACCGGAGTCTAACCTTTTGAGTGCTGAAGAATTTGCTTCTTTATATGGGAAAAGTGCGGAATAAAATACGTAGCTATTTGGGAGGGGGAATGATAGAGACTGTTTTAATAACATTTTAATTATTATATAAAAAAGAATTTTTACTAACAAAAATATTTTTTTATTCTCACTTATTGCAAGAGTGTTTTGCTGCACAAATTCACTGAATTCTTTTTTACTTCCCTGTACGAAGTAAAAAGGAAGTATTGTAATCGCGAAAAGTTTCAGGCAGCATATTTCAACGAAAATATCCATTTTGACCGCTATCCAATGCAATTTAACGATGGTTTTGCGTGATATCTGTACGTAAGGACAGAATAAAAGACTCGTTTCCTCCAAAAAAATTATAAAACTGCTTTAAAATTAATTCTGAAGAGAATTTTTCGTGGCGTCTGTACGACGTATGTACGTACGTACGTATCTCGCATAACTCAAAAACGAGTAGCCTCAGAACGTTGAAATTTTGTATATAGGACTGCTATAACATGTAGATGTGCACCTCGTATTTTGGTTGCAATCGGCCGCACCAAACGTATATAAATATATTTATATATATATCCACTCTGTTACCCGGCTCAGTGATCTCAGTTTCTTTACTCTTATATGTTTGTAAATTGTACATTTTTTGCTTTAAAAATGATTGAATTATGTTGTTTTTATCTTCCGGTTAAGGATTTCATGCCTTTAGTAAATCTGTGTGCAATATTTTTAGAATTATCAGCAATTTTAAAGTTGTTTAATTGGCGCTAAGCCTTTTTTAATGGCGGCCATTGATGTTTACATTTGAAACAGGAGACTAGTGGATTTGTTGCCAATCTAGAGAAACTTAGCTTCGTAACAACAAAGATAACGCATTCATTTATTATTGCCAATTAAATCATGCTTAACTCTTTCTGGAATTTGTTTCGAGGAAATAAGTGTTTCAGATTTACTTCGTAATTTTTAATATAGATATTTTGAGTTTTTATGTATTTTTGCCTTCTCGTGAAGTGAGAACTTAATTAATTAAATGAGAAATACTCAATCGTCTGTGAAAAACTGTTTTTGTTTTGTTTGCTTAATTTCTTTTATACATCATTCTAGCTTTATTATAGTATTTGAATAGAACATGTGCAAAACGATTAGATAATTCTTATCTTTAAATGATATAAATTTTGTGCATTATGAGTTATAATAGAACGAAATATATACGTTAACTGTTATATAATTATTAGATTATATAACAGTTAGCTTAGTTTCCGTTATATAATTATTATATAGTTAACTGTTATATAATTTAATACTGTTAAGTGAATCTAGCGCCAGAGTGTCGCTATGGTAAACAAATACTAGAATGAATTTAAAGAATGCATTTATTCTATTGTGGTTTATGCGCTGTCGGCGAAGTAGATTTAATTCAATCCAATAAGTTTAAATGAAATGCAAGAAAAAATGCGTATAATTTAATATTCCAATACAAGGAAGTCATGTGGTGTACACATCAGATTTTTTACATATATAGCGCAAATTAAGCTGGATCGTTTAATTCCGTTACCATTTTTTTACTGCATATCTCACACTGTCGCAACTTTCGTCTAGACAGTTTTTCTAAAGAAAACTTTTACCACCTTAGGAAAAGTTCTTTCATTACCTTTCCTGTTTTTTAAGCCAAGCAGATATTTTTGCATAATTGTTATGCCTTTATGCCATGTTGTTTACGGAAATGAGATTTTGTTATCAGCTGAAGCAAAACTTGACTTTTTCGAAAAGCAATGGTAAGGCCTTAAATTGATGCTTCATGTTTGTACAGTCCTTAACCGATATCATCCACTGAATTTATAAAACTTAAATCTAGAATAATAGACGCGCTTGTAAAATAACAGCAAAGTACGCTACACCATTATTATTATTATATACATGTTCCGCATTAAAGCACTACTCGGAAGGCAGGGACGCCTTCATGGAGGACTTTTTAAGGGAAATTAGCTCTTGTTAACACTTTACACACGGGAAAAACCACCACGAAAACGACCATGCCAGCCAGCCCGTTCGCGGGATTCAGACCTCGGATGGAACTACCAGTGTTCCGTGTGGGCCACGCTACCTGATTAATGGCCGTTTAAACGGGAAAAAATTTAATAAATATTAATCTATAGTTACACTGATTTACACAAAATACACATATAAAATTAAAACAGCGACTGAAGAACTTCAGCCAGAAAAGAATTAAAGAAACTATTTAAATTTATAATATAAGAGAGCTAATCGAAAATTTCTTTCCGAAAGAGTGAACAAGTCTGTAGTTTTCACTACACATGTCACGAAATTCCAAGGAAAAATTCAATTACTGTGTTCAATGACCTCTTCCAAAATCTATTATCACTTGCACTAAAATAGCATTTAATCTATTACAGAGTGAAAAAGAAAAAAAGAAGATAAAGACTAAATGAAATTTTTCAACCATTTGCAGCGTGTGTCTCTACAGAAACGGTGAGGCTCTTATGATCCGTGAAGAAAGTTCCAATTCTTCTTCCTTGAATGATACGCCCGACAGCTTGCTCGGCGGTCCCGTTACAAATGACAACAGCAACTCCACGCTCGAGGGCCCAACTTGCAGCACGAACCTTTTCGAGAAAGGAAGAGTAGAAAATAAATCACAAATTGAAAATATTTTACTTATTCTTTCTGATATGACGCTTGGTATTTAATTGCAGAATAGTCAGAAATTAAAGTAACAGCAGCCTTTTAAGTTTACTGGCAAGGATTCCAAATCTAAAATGCTTTTATACAAGTACTTATTCGTTCGTCCGTTTATCATAACAGTCATAGCTGAAGGAAGTTTTATGGTGGCTGGTTTCGCATCAGTTTCACTAATCTAATTTTGCATAACTTCAAAGCTTTGAAAACAGTTTTATTTAGTTATTAACGAGATACATGCAAACTAAGTAAATCCTTAGGTGCATAAAACGCAAATTTCCAACAAAAATGTACAATCCCACTTTGGTTCATGATAAATAGAGTATGTTTTTCTTTTTGTTACTATTTAAGTACATGTTCTTTTACATGTACATCTGTGAATTTAGAGAGAATGAATTCTATACTTTTTACTTATCATTAGATATTTTTACTATAGACATTTGTAAAATTATAGAATAATTACGTTTATTACAGAGCAGGAAACTTGAAAAATGAGCAACGCCCCTTCCGGGATTCAAATGCCGGATGCAATTACACCATGCAGGCGCAAGCGGTAAGGAAACAAGTCCTTACAATAATACGCATTTGCTTTATTATAACGTATGCCCCTAACTGTAGCTAGATCTTAACACAATGGTTCTTAGTTAATTAAATAAATAATTCGATACATTCTGAAACAGCAACTAATTTAAAGTCTAGCTGGGAATATGAATGGAACAGTTACTCAAAAGCAAAGTGTATATAATCAAATGCAAAGGAATTTAACTTTGCTTTATACATAACACTTAATTTAAAGGGAAAAACAAGACTTTATATATAGAGCTAGTTGATTTAATTAAGGTAAAATGCGCAATAGAAATCTACCAAGTGCAGGATGCTTTCTCAAAAATTCTTAAAGGGATCAGTTATTTGAATATGACGAAGGGAGAGGGATGCTTTTGTGGAGGAGTTTCTAAGAGAAACCAGTTCGTAATCATGCTACACATGGGATTACAAATCAAATATGCAGCCAATCCGTTAGCTTGGAATCGCCCCTTGGTCGAACTTCCAGCATTCAGTGGTCTCATCTACTCGTCTGCTAGTGTTGCCGACTTTATAGGGAAAGCTCATATTTACGATGCACATTCAGATAATCGTATATCAACACAATAAATCCAAAACGAAATTATGAACCTAGAGACATAACTAAAGATGGATTACCCTATTCTTAAATGTTCTGCTTGACGTTACGTAGCGTACAATAAATATCTCAAATACGCGCCCAGTGTGCTAGTAATTTTACAAATGTCTATAGTTTTGTGTTACACCACAAAAGCATGCAGAAAGGAGGGAGCAAATATATACTCCCCCTTTTAAAGAGCGACTGGGGTTAGAAAGACCCAGTCGCCAAATCCTGGGGGTGAAGAACATTATCCACCAGCTTTTAGTTCGGGCCCCATTGTAGAGTCATGTAGAATTTTTTTTAATCAGAAAATTGAAGAAATGTGCAATGCCTTCGCCGGGACTCGAACCTGGATCTCTCGAATACGCGCCGAGTGTGCTAACCGTTACACCACGAAGGCATGCTGGAAGGAGAGAGAAAATACCTCATAAACTTACTTTTCATAGGAATTTGCGGCTACAGTTATTTAAATAAGAAAAGCAGTGTTCTGCTCTTACTTACAACACAGTAAGTTCTCCACGAAGTAACTTCTTTTCTTAAGTAGATATGCCTTAATCTGTCAAAGCATTTAACTTTTTTCGATTTAGAGCCCCTCTTTTCAATATTTTTCCACTCAGCGGCCCCTTCGAATTTGTATAGCTCTTTCTTTCCAACAATGATAAACTTTGAAAGTGAAAAAGTGGTATGTGGGTACTGACTGAAACTACTTAAAAATTTCTTAGCACTTATTGCATTTCATTAAATTATTTATTAAAGTTCATCACGCAATACGAAAACGGAATGGTAACAATTAAAGACTTCTCGAAGCATTTATAGTAATAAAAATGCACAAAACAAGCACAGGTTCTACCTATGGCACGCGCAAAAGTATTAACTGAAAGAACACTTTTGCTTGAAAGTGCAAGTTCGAATTTGCAGTCATGTTTTTAGAATAGTAGACTAATAATTTATAATAATTTTCCTTGGAAATTTACATTCAACTTAAACCAATATCTGAAAATTAGTCTGATATAATTAACTTTGAATTTTGTAAAGAGGCGGGACTAACACTTTCATAATGAAGTGAATAATTAAACATTTGCTTCAAATGTATTCAGGCAGTCTAATTTTTCAAATGTTCACTCGCTTTTCAATGCCTTTTTACCGCCTTTCAGAAGAAGAATATTCGAGTAAATGTCTTCAGCGCCTTCCTTCTTCTGTGAGAGATTAAGCCCTCCTTGGAAAATTATGAATTATCAAGACTTAGTTAGAAGTGGCAGAGCCCTTCAGAAGGCTGTTAGGAAAGATAAATAAAAAATATATTGTAAAGAATTAAATTTAAATAAAATGTAAAGAAATAAAAATATTTCCATTACATTAAATGAATGCCAAATAGTAAAATAATATCGGAGCTCATCTTATTTTGACCTTTAACTTACCACCTTATGACTTTAATTAGGCCTATTAGCAACCAAACGGTAAGATCAGTAAGCAGTGATATTAGTTTAACTCGAGTTTGAATTGCAGCAAACGGTTGGCTACATAAGAGTTCTAATGGTTTTTCTCATCTGTAACATAAATACGGGTCAGTTTCCATTAAAAAGTCTCTCACGAAGGTATCACTCCCCTTAGGCAGACAGACCTCGTGTGCTTTGCCATAATTCAAATAACCTCACAGAAAATCGACTTGAATTATGATTTCACTTAAAAACTAGAAAGTTCCTAAGTAAGGAGGGCCTTCGATTAACTACTAATTTAAGCCTTGGAGTAAGCAAATGAAAATCTGAGCTAACTTAACACATACTTTGGCTCGGAAACATGATTAACTCATACTTTGGTTCGAGATTGCCAAAGATTTGAGGCTATGTGAGTTCATGATCTAGAGGTCCAGTATACAGAGAAAATCAGAAGAATGTATGTTTTTTGTATATCATTGTTATAGACAAAATTAATTAATAAAGGTATTCAGGGTGTTCGAGCTGAGGGATAAATATTTGTTCATTTTTCGATTTGGCTGGGAATTAGGCACAATTATTCATATTCTACACATGATGTATATTCTACGCATTATATATATTTTGTTAGATAAATAAACTAGAAAAATAAAACATTTAATTCTGAAACAATACACGTGGAATTCTACCTGTTTCTTTGAATGTAAAGAGTATATTAATAAAATGAAATTATACTGAACTACTTTCATTACTTTCTCATTGGATTCCCAATTAGGGTTATGATATCATAAAATTTTAAACATTAAGTTATAACTAATATAGTAACTTTATCGCATACGGAATCCTAAGATTATTTTCACAAATTTTAAGGGAATTTTATAAGGTTTTAGGAATATCAAATTTTTCCCCGATTGTCAAATATATATGCAGATTACGATCTTTTCATTTTCTTTTGTAATTTTTAGATTATTTTCACATTTAAATATTTTTAAGCTATTTTCCGTTAACATTCTTGCAAAAATATAGTGCAGAATAACCTAGTGTGCAAATATAGTTCAATCTCGATCAAAAGCAACGTGTTGAATCTTTTTCCAGGTTATGTTAAGTTATATGAATAAGGCAAAGCACGCTAGGGCTATTTGCCTATGCGTTCATAGAGGATTTAAGGAAACCTGGATCGTATTCACGTTGCACATCGAGGAAACTACGAAAACCAACCATACAACTAACCCTCTCGCCTGGGATCGAACTCTCAATATTAAGCACTATAACCACACGGTCACTGATGGGGTGAATGCATTTTCAGAATTTGGTTTCAGAATTTCAGCTAAAGACTATAAAGTACAATATTTTTATTTAGCTGCATGCTAATTATCTGTGTTATTGCTTCATTTCTGATATATTATCTCTTAGGTACTCCGCGATTAGCCCTCCAGTTTTAAAATATGTTGTCATAAATTATAATGTATTAAATATAATAAAAAGCTCTTCAGAATTATCTCAAAATATTTATATTTCTTTTAAAATTAAGTTCTTTATATCAATAACTACATTTTATTGACATTTATCTGTCAGAACTGCCACTCCTTTGGAACCTGTAGCCACATCCTCCTTGTCTTCGCTTAAATCAAAGAATTCTTAAACAGTATCTCAGAGAAGTTTCCATATCTGGTGCTGCATCAACATTTATAACTTAATCTTGAAAGTTTCTTAAGTAAGGAAACAATAACGTGAACAACTGAAAAGACATCACAAAGAGAATATAGCACATTATGCTTATCACCAGGTCAAAATGATTGTTTATCATTCTGCCTACTCAAATACGCTAGACCTTATGAATGAATGCCCTATTAATTACTTCGTCCATATCTCTACTGTTTAAAGTAACACGCACTATTCTAAGATACAGAACTTAAACGTGGTTTATTTATTTATTTTTTTCATAACCAGAAGGCAAACTCTTGGAGTGTCTATATGTTTTTCATAAGAAATGTATGTTAACTGTGCTTCCAAGTTTTTTTTTTTTTTTTTTTTTTCCTTGACACAAGACCGTTAGGAAACATTTGAATTTACAAAGTTAGTGCTAAACATTAAATAAATATGTAAATGTGTAAAAAAAACTTTTACATGTTCACTTGCTGACATGCTTTATCAAATAAATTTGATTAAGCATGAATCAAATAAATTTGAATAATAATAATTTAAGGTAAATTATTAAATGAATTTGAGCTCATAGATAAACTGACATTTTAGTTATCAATTAATTTGTAAAATTTTAACTAATTTAACGTTAATTGGAAGGCTCGATCTTAATTTGAACTGTGAAGCGACT